TCTCACCACCTCCCCCTTTCTTTGCTGCTACAGGTTTAAAGTTTTTGCAGACTATGAGGCTTATGTCAAATGCCAGGAGAAGGTCAGCGAGCTCTACCTGGTGAGTGCCAGCCTGGGGACAAGGTGGGGGACCTGTGATAGGGGCACAACATCCCATCCTGGAGAAAGGGTCTGGTGGGGCTGTGCACCTAGATGGGTTCCTGGTGAGGATTCTCCTGGCTGTGCTGCTGCAGGAGGTTCCTGGTTGAAAGCTGGTCTTGGGGACAATGCAGCACCCATGGGTGCAAGCTTCCATCTGCACTGTCCCACCACTGTTCCTTGCAGAACTCCAAAGCATGGACCAAGATGGTCATCAAGAACATCGCAGCAGCCGGCAAGTTCTCCAGCGACCGCACCATCAAGGAGTACGCCCGGGACATTTGGCACGTGGAACCCTCTGACCTGAAGATCCCACCACCCAACGAACCCCGGGATGCAGTTGAGGACAAGACCCCCAACGGCACGGTGGCGTAAGGGGCACGGAGCCATCGCCAGCTGGAGCCAGGGGACGTGAGCACATGCGCTTCTACTTCTGCCTCTGCTGTCTCATCTCGGTGTGGCTGCTGCTGGCTCTTCCACGGACGGGGACAGGGGGATTTGGATCACTTACGTGTCGTGAGGAAAGCAAAACCCTGTTACCCCCCCTGTTGCTTGCCCAGGTGCTAAAAATGAAAGTGGAGTCCAAGGGGGGGCTGTTGGGTGAACCCTAAAATGAGAGTCTGGACTCAGGTGCACCAGCGCTGAGGCAGAAGGAGGGTGCAGGGGGTGGGACAGGGTGGGAAGCACAGCTGGCCGTGCTGAAGCAAGATTCAGGGTGCAGCTCTTGCCCGTCCAAAGCCATCAGTGCCAGGGATGATGTGGAGTTAAGGGGTGGTGGCAATGGGGCCCGTGTAACCCCATCACTGCCCCATATGATGCTCCTGGTCACCACTTGCACGTTCCTGTCCCAGGAGCAGCACCCAACTCCCAGCGATGTCCCCAACTCCTGAGCAACCTGCAGTGTCCTTGAGGCAGCGGGCGAGTTAGAAAGTTTCTCTGTAGTTTTTATTAGGTACAGCAGTGAAGGTCAGTGCCACGAGGGGTTTCCTGGTGTGGGTTTGGGGGCGGGAGCGCTCGCGGTGGCTGCACGCAGCAGTTGGCATCACTTCATCTTCAAGAAATCTCTGCAACAAGATGCAATAAATCTCACGCTCTGTCACTGTCACTGTTTGAGATCCTCAGTTCTGAGTCCTGAGCGTGGGGCTGAGCTGGGCTTAGAGCAAAGTGGAGCTGGGGGTTGTCCCCAAGGCCACCTCCCCATGACACTAGGGCTGAGGATGGGCTTGGGGCAGTGACTGGAGCTCAAACATTGATGCCAACAAGTACCGTGGGGAGGGGAAGGATCAGGGGGGAGGCACCTGCATGGTTGCAGCAAGGAAGGATGTGCCCATGGAAGAAGAAACCAAAGCTCATTCTGTGCCCACCCATTTCTCCAGAGCAGCACTTACTTGACCAGGGTGGGCAGCTCCGGGTTGGATGAGATGTAGTCATGGCCCAGGCCCAGCTTTTCAGGGAAGGTAATGAACTTCACCTTGCTTTTGTCCTTGTAGGCACCACGTGCCATCTCAAAGAGCTGCCGTGGGGTGGGAGCGTGGTTAGTGGCAACATACAGGGGACCCCAACCCCCTCCTGGCACCCTGGGGCTGGTCACCCCCTCTCCCTCCCCTTCAGCCCCCCCAAAACCAGGTTAAACCAGCGCCCACCCCTGTTAAAACCCATGCAGAGGTGATGGTGGTCCCCACCTTGCGCCCCAGGTGCGGAGGCACCACAGCATCATCTTCTGCGTGCAGGATGAGGAGCGGGCAGGTCAGCACCTTCACACTGTGGGCAGCAAGCACAGCACCGAGGAGTCACCCTGGAGCCACCAACCCCATGGGAGCCTCCTTGGGTGCTGCTGAAACCCCACCAGCAACCCTGACCCCCCCCCACCAGATGCTGCCTGGCAGAGCCATCCCAGCCCATCGGTGGCCAAGGGCAGCTGAACTACCTCAAGGTGATGCTCACTCTGCTCACCCCCGGCAGCACCAAGCACCCTCATAACCTTCAACCCCACCATGCAGGGTGCTCAGGCTTTAAAAACACCCGTGAACCAGGTGGCTTTGAGCAAAGACACCCACAGACATGGAGCAGGAAGGACCTTGGTGTCCTTGTTGTGTGTGTGTGTTGGGACTGGAGCATGTGGTGGCCAAAAGAAAAGGACGTTGGCTTGTGGACTTTGCTCATTAGTAATATTGACAGCTGAAGTTATGCAAATCAAAAGCCACTTGTAAAGCATGAGTAAGCTGGGCAAACAGGGCAGGGATGGCATGGTGTGACATGTCCAACCCACCCCACCTTGGCCAGGTGGTCCCAGCATCATCCCCGCATTGTCCCCTGTGGGGACAGCTGTGTCCCACCCCTCCAGGCACTCACTTCTCATCGTTGCGGAAGAACATGTTGCCCAGGGCTAGTGAGTCCAAGATGAGGTACCCGAAACCCGGGAACTGCCGGTAGATCTGCCAAGGAGAGAGTTGGGGGGGTGCTAAGTCATGGGTTTGATTGCTGCACCCTGGTGTGGGGGACCCCCGGGTGGTGGGGGGTTCCACTGTGGGGGAACCCATGGGCAATGCTCCCCACCCATCATTGCTGAGGGACCCCATGG